TTTTGGTTCTCCAATTTAAAAAAAAATACTACAGTTTGATTATTATCCAGACCTTTCAACTCAGGAGCACTATATTTGATGATAATTTTTTTTTCAAATACAGATAATGTGTTTTGGAGACTCAAGAGCAAAGGCATTATGAGAGATAACAAGGATGAAAATGATCCACAGTTTTGCATTTTTCCCCATGTACGACCCCCGACTTACCCCTTTCCTTTTAGTGCTCTTCATTTCTAAAATTGCTTGTGATAGTTCTATTATGGCTGCTTACACTATTTATCTAATGTAGTTTGGTGTCATTTGCCTGCTTTGTCTGATTTTCACAATAGAAGTACATGTGCCACTATTAGAGATGTAATCTTATGTCTGCTACACAGAGATCTCATAAAAACCACATTTCAAAGATCTCCTATTTCAAAGATATCTGAAAGTATAAAGTAATTTAGTTTTATCCAACTATTGTTGGATGCCGTGCAAGTCCATCAGACACACAGTCTTTCTTAGCAGCTTTGCTGTTTTGTAGGCTATAAAAAAACAGTCTGATTGAATTTAGTCTGCCACTAATTCATATGACATGTATGGCGGATTCTCCTCTTATTGAAAACAATGGGGAATTCAGCTATTTCCTAGGTGTCAGGATCAGGCCTTATGTGTGATGTAAGATTTCTCTAGACCAAGATAGTCTGGACTGTTTTGTGTCAGTGTAACACCAGTGCTAACCTCTGAGGTAAACAGGCAATATCTGTACTAAACAGAGCCTCTGTGGATGCATCTACATGAGACATTTACTGCGGATCTGACTAATTAGCTCTGCAGTAAAGCGTCAGCATCTACATGTGCGGTGCTATTAGGCCAGAGTAAACTAATTAACCGTAGGATAGTACTGCTCGACACAAGTACTATCCTACAGCGGAGTTATTTACTCTGTCACAACGCCCATGTAGACACTTGCCGGGGCTGGTTGGGCCATGAGGGTGCTACACTGATGGGCTGCCTGCCAGCTAGCCCTGCACTGTAGCACCCTCATGCCCCAGCGGTCCCTCTGCAGCACGTTGAGCCAGGTTGACCCCTGGGGCCCCCGCCAGTTCAACTTGCTCTGCCCCAGGAGCTGCTCTGCCCCAGCTCAACGTGCCGTGGTCCTGGACACAGGTGTAAATGCTGCACCAAGGAGCAATAAACTCTGGTGCAAACTGTAACGGAGTTTATTGTGTTGCATTAATATTCATATGTAGACTTGCCCAGTTAGTATAATTTACACCTGTCCCATAATTTACACCTGTCTCATACTGCCTCCTCTGCATTGGCTTAGCTACACCAGTGCAAGAAATAGCCAGAGTAGACAGTGCCATAGGCAAAACTTCCAGGGCAAGCAGGGAACGTTTATTTTCTGGTGCTTACATTTTCAGTTAATCATTGCATTCATGAAGGTGAAGGACTAAGGACACACTTTCTCTGTTCACAAATCCGTGGAGCTGAGATTATGAAACAAAAAACAGATGGAAAAAGACAATATGAATTATAAATACAAATAACCCCCTGAGTTTTCCTATTCAGTGGTGCATAATCAATACAAATTCTTTTCAAACCTGAAGATAGTGTGAAACAAGAGTTATCTTTCTTTTCATGCCTTCTGACTCAATATCATTATGTACGATAATTGGGTCTGTAAAAACCTATTAGGTAAGGAGAGAGAAGAGGTGTGAAATAAAGAACCAACCCTACTTCTTCGGAAAAGGGTGTCTGAGGCGAAACATTTCACAGCTTTAAAAAGCAGCCATCTTCAGAGAAAATTTCAGGTGTAGGAAGGTGGGTCATCCAAATGGAAAAACAACCACTAATTAAATAAAGCAGAGTTAGGGCTGCATTTTTCCCTTCTCTCTCCTCCTCTCCCCGCAGTTCAGAAGTTCCATGGGAGGGTCTGCGAATCCTTAAAAAAGAGGCCTGGATGATGTCTTATTTGACTTGACCTTTTAAATGGCTCATTTCCAGTGAGGCTGCTCTTGCTGCTATCACGTTGTATATGGCTGAACGTTATATGGCAAAAGTTCTCTTTTTCTAAGTTTTTTTTCCTTTTTGGGTTTTAGAAAATAAAAACAAACTAATCACTAGGGCTGATGTAGCAGTCCATTGCTACTCAGCAAAGCATTTAACTATACTTGCCAAGTTAAGCATGTAACTTTAGCAAGACTTAGGGTCTTGAAATTTATCTTGTGTGAAGTACTTCAAACAAGGGCCTAAGGCCTCAATACTGCAGTACTGTTGTGTGTGTATGGACCTCTCACAACCACACAAAGGCTCATTGCCTTAAATGGTGCTTTATAAGGCATCATGGAGCAGACTTCAGGATTAGGATCCTACTTTGAGATAAGAGAGTTACCGGATATTTAATAATAGTGCAACATATGTAATTGACCCCTTTCTCCTTGGAATACGAAGCAAATAATTCAGCACACTGGGAATCTGAATGTGTTACATAACTAAAGTTAGATTATATGTGCCTATAAGGTGTGTTCTCATGATGAGGGTGGTATAAAGCCACATGAATGCAGAAGCAAGCAGTTAGCACCTGCATAATCATATGACCTTACCAGTTAGAGAATATGGGAGGCCTTTGAGGTGTCAGGAACCTGGGGGAGGAGGCAGGGAGTAATCCAGGACTGCAAAAGTACTCAGCCTCTTTGCAGATATCTGGCACTCCGTACAAGGAGATGTGGCCCATGTCCAATGAGCTACTTAAATTGGAATATAGGCAAATACATCTACAAGTACTGGACGTTGTGTTGGACATTGGACTGGCTACTGCACAGCTTTAGGATTGCTGAGATGAGCTTTAGGATTGCACTTTAGCCCCAGATTTGGTCCTATACCAGGAAGAGCATAACTGGAGCAAAGACTCTGGCTCAGTGAATTTTAACTTATGAATGGATAAAAGATAAAGATAAAAATAAAATTGCTTATTAGAAATATCAGTCATACCTTGAGTTGTGGAGTGAGAAAGCAACCTGATGTTTTTTGGTTTTGGTTTTGGTTGTTGTTGATGATATCAATTACCTAGGCATGGAGCAGAAGTTAGATGAATTTCCACTCTCAGTTACATGTGTGCTGTACAGCCCTGAATTCAATGCTGTTTCATGTATATAAACCAGGGGTGAGCAAAATTCAACCCACAGGCCAGATCCAGCCCATCAACTGATTAGATGTGGCCCTCGGGGCACTCACCAGTTCATTGGATTCAGCCCATGGCTGCCCCCATGGCTCTTCGCATGCGGCTGAGCCCTGCCCAGGGCAGCCAGCGCTGTGCTCCTGCCTGCTCCCACTGACCCCAGTCCTAGCCAGCATGCACAGCTTTGGACAGGGCTGCTCCCAATGCGGCTGCAGTCACCCAGGTGCTGCTCAGCTCCCCTCACCTCCAGCAGCAGCTCGTCCTCCTGCTCCTGTCCATGCCACGCCATTCTGGGCAGGGAGGAAGCTTCAGCCAGGCGGCTCCTGCCCGAGCTCACAGGGCTCCAGGTCCCAGCTGCCTTCCACCCACTCCACCCGTCCAGTGCAATGAGCAGTCACCTCCCATCACAGAGGCACACAGGCAGTGGATCATGTCACAGAGGCAGTGAAGGCCCTGGCCCTGTGCTGTCACCGCTCTGTGATGCCCCCACTGCAATCCCCTGGTCTCACCCACCCGTCCTGCTCCCAAACACTGCTCCACACCTCCCTGCAGCCCCATCCCCCATAGGGAGTTTTGGTGAGCTGTTGCATGGGGGTGCTGACCCTATCTGTGACAACTCATCGAAACTTCCAGTGTGGCTTCCAAGCACAAATAATTGTCCACCCCTGCTAACCAAGAGTATAACTTAGCGTGGGTATGGATGAGCAGGACCCAATCCCCAGGCACCCATTTAGAGTCAGTGTCAAAATGGCAGCTCCCAAGGGAGTCTGTGGTGGTGCAGCAGCAGCAGCCCCACTCTACAGCTATAGCAGCAACAACCAGATACAGGCACCCCCCTTGTACTTCTTCCGCAACAGGTTTAGTCCGGGGCTCCACGTTCCCTGCCCTGGAAAAGGTTTTGTCCAGGGAACAGAAGTTGCTAGTTATGCGTCTGAGTGTAACTATGAGCAAGACCATGAGAGAGCATCACTCCCCATATCTCCCACCCTTCCCCAACAGTTCCTGATTCTAGTTACCTTTTCCCATTGCTTTCCTTTAACACAGTTCAGCCTTCACATCAGTAGGTACCGTATTTATATGGCACTGGCTTCTCATAGCCTATTTTAGACTTCTTTACTAATTTTCATTAATACTTATTGTTGTAGCAGTAACTAAAAGTACCTGCACTTGCACTTGTCAGAAGAGCCTCACCCATTAAACAGGGATCTGAGCCCCACAGTATAGACTAGAAGAGATTAAAGCTTAACTGCTTGAAAAGCTTGTTTGATCATCTCTTAGACTGGGTTTATGATGTTAGTAATACAAGGGCCTCTGTTGTGACTACAGCCGGTCAATTTATTCATTGAAAATAAATTATTCAATGAATTCCCCATTTTTCTGTTCGTGAGTCATTTGTGAATCACTTTTGATTTCAAATAATGCATTTTCTGTTCATAAACATTTGCCTACATGGATTTGGCCTCAGGGATCCTTGCAAACTATTCGTTTTTACTATTAATTATCCATTGGGAGTGTGATGCAGCATTTATGTTTTCTATTTAGATGACTGGAACATTTCAAACATGTTGTATAGGGGATTTTTTTGACAAATAATCATTCGTGATATACTGGGGATTCAACAGTAATATAACAAATAAACCAGAAGTCATCCAAGTAGTTGAGAAGAACTAATAACCTGACTCCATGAATAACAGCTGAGGGAACATAACACTTTTATTCATGAAATATCTGTGAATCTCTCTTTTTTTTTCTTGCTTTTCTATGAACCCTTGGATTAACAAGAGATATCTTAATGGCAACAGAAATAATATGGGTTGTTCTGTTTGTTTATCAACAGGTACCAGCAGTGCAGAAGTAAAAGAAAACCGAAATGTTGGCAACCTGGAGGATCATCCCATAGCCTCCAGTGAGAGATCAAGAGTGGGTACATCAAGCAGTAAGAGGAAAAGGCCCTTGGAGGAAGGCAACAATGGCCATTTCTGCAAACTACAACTCATCTGGAAGAAAGTCTCATGGTCAGTGACACCAAAGAATGCCCTGGTCCAGCTACATGAACTTAAACCAGGGTTGCAATATAAAATGGTTTCCCAGACAGGCCCCGTGCATGCTCCAGTCTTTGCTGTTGCTGTAGAAGTAAATGGACTTACATTTGAAGGCACAGGACCCACAAAAAAGAAAGCCAAAATGCGGGCTGCAGAACTAGCTCTGAAGTCTTTTGTTCAGTTCCCAAATGCATGTCAAGCTCACTTTGCCATGGGGAACTGCATTAACCCATCCACAGACTTTACATCTGACCAGGCAGACTTTCCAGATACTCTGTTCAAGGAGTTTGAACCACCTACACACAGCGAGGACTTCTCGGTCTATAACCCCGTTAATAATGAATTGCTTTCCACTGCTTATCGACACGGGAGGTTACTCTGCCACACGTTGGACTTAATGGGCCACGCTAAGCAAAACAAGCACAAGATGGCATCCAAAGCTGAGAGCGAAAAGAACCCAGTGGTGTTGCTAAATGAGCTGCGCTCGGGACTGAGGTACGTCTGCCTTTCGGAGACTGTGGAGAAGCAGCATATCAAGAGTTTTGTGATGGCAGTGAGAGTGGATGGGAGAACATTTGAAGGCTCAGGACGTAGCAAGAAGCTGGCAAAGGGCCAAGCAGCGCAGGCTGCACTCCAGGCCCTCTTTAACATTCGGCTGCCCAGCCACATTCCCAGCAGGAGTAAATGTAACCATTTGCCACAGGTGAGAGCTCTCAGGTAGCTGCCACTGAGATGAAGGAATTCTTAAGATTAATGTGATTGTTATTGTTCTAGCTGTAATTGGTGAATGATCAGGCCACTCTCCTCAAATTATAGTAAGTACAATATTTCAGCAAAGCCCTTTCTTCACAGAAAAAACCCTAGGCCCACACAAAGGTCTTTGTGTGTACTTACCTTAAAATCATTAGAAGCAATTTGCAGGATTATCCATAAGAATTATGGACGAGTGTAAAGAAAATAGAAGGCATGTCAGCATTTCAGTTGTCTAGAAATAATTATAACAATGACACACGTAATGGAGGCAGGTAATGTGGGTAATGATGACACTTTCTCACAAGAATGAAACCATAAGGGGGTATCTTCTTGGTTCTTTTCCTATAAAGTTACATTTTGCTGAGGAGAGTACCATTCCACAGAGGTTTTTCCTTTTCTCAAAGCCTGATTTCCACACGTTTCTATTGGTGATTTTTCCCTCCGCTATGTTTTACAAATGTCTAAGAGAGTGAGCAATGTAAAGGTTATGACCTGTTTTGGTGTGAGTGCATACACTCACTTACATATACACAAAATATATATCAGAGATGTATACCCTCTGGATCAGTGTCTTACAGTGTATTATATGCCACAGGCCAGCAAGGCGCTAACTTCTCAGACTTGTATGATTTTTCTGGATTCAAAGGAAACAATGATTTTTAAACACTGGGAAGCCCAATTGAGATTGAATTTGTGCCAATATGCTTGCTAGAATCTAGAAGTACTAGATTCTGTTACTTGCCTTCACTAATACTATATGATTAGTGTATGCAAGGAAGTCTCCAATGGAAGTGCTGTAGCCTAGAAGATATTATAGAAGACTGAGAGTCAAGGAACCTGAGGTTTTTTCCTCATTTGAAGGAGTGAATTCTGGTTTGCAATGAAGTTCTGGTTTGCAATGGAGTCCTGGGCAAGTGGTATAATTCCAGTTTCTCTGGCTAGGGACAGACATTACACATAAACTGGTTTAAGTGATCAGAAACTGGTTTAAATCTTTAGCAGAACAGATGTTCAGTGCACATAAACCAGTTTGAAAATGGCTGAAAATGCTTTGAAATAAACCTTGTTGAATATAGTATCAGATTTAACTAATATGGGTCAAACCAGAATATAAAATGTCTGTCCCAGACCCCTTACTGGTTTAAGATAAACCAAATGCCTCCAGTATCCCAACATGCTCTTTGAGCTGGGTGGGGCTCTCTGTTCCACAACAGGGCTGGCCTCTCCCCTCTACTCCCTGGCTGCAGCTCCGGCAGAGACTGAAGACACAGCAGGTTCTGCATGGCTTTCCCCCACTCTCGCTGCTCACTGCTTAAGCAGGAACCCCCCCCTTCCCTCCCTCTCTTCTATCACTCACAGCACGGACCCCAGCCTCACGGACCCTAGCATGTGGTATGTTTCGTTAGCTAGTGTCTGTGTATGTCTGTGTGTGTCTCTCTCTCTCCAATTTCACTGAGACAGGCAAACAGAACAGTGACCGCTTAAGGCTATTTGGAGCTAATCAACAGGTCAGCCAGAAAGCTGTTTAAGAAGAGTTTGAACTAATGGAGAGAGCCTATTGTTTTGCTGATCAGGTGATAATCACTGCTATCAGCCCCCTGCTGGCCTGCTTGCCTGTCAGTTCACTGCTGGCAGTATGAAGAAGCAGGGAAAGGGAGATTGAAAAGCTGTGTATCATTAGCAGATGCATGCACTGCACACACACCCTCCCCTTGCCTCAGAGTGCTAGCCGGGGGCTGGGGGCTGGCAACATTCCCACCCCTTGAGCAGCCAGCAGGGAAAAGCCTGGGATGATGCAGCCAGACCTCCCTAATCAGAGGTCCTGTCGGGGCCTGGCCATGCCCCCCTCAGCTGAGCACTCTGGAAGGGAAGGGAGGGCTGCTTGATTCTTAAGGAAAAGGACATCTTATAATCCACATACCACTTTGCCAATATCTCCTCTTAATTTGTATCAGCACACTGCACTCCTTTTGAATGCGAGGAGTTGTAACTTTATTTGAGCTTTAAAAATAATAATAATCTTGTTAATATTAATGGTTACACCTACCTGGTGCTTCAAATACTTTCCAGAGTGTTCAGCAAATATCTTTTCTTTAATCCTCACTGAACTCCTGAAGTGTGCATAAATTATTAAGAAAAATATACAAAAAAGTAGAAGTATTAGTGTTGGCGCAAAGTTATTGCTGTGGTAATCCAGGAACTATATGAAACAAGAATTTCTGCAGATGAAATCTTTTATAAAATCAGCTGTATAGTTGAAAGGTATATAGACTAGCTTTTAGATACCAAGTACCCTTCCTCAGATCTGTAAATATTAAATTATTAAAAGTATTAAAGTATTAGAAAGTGATATCCACAATGTCTTTGTGACCACAGTAGTCTCACCGTTTAGGTTGTTGTGCAGGGATTCCTCAGAGCAGGTGTGATGTTACAGGTATGATAAGTGTGATGACCTAACTCTGTTCCTATTTTAAGTTACTGAAACTTACAATTTTTCATATGCAAAACAACTCTTCCATACAGCTTCCTGAATTAATTACCTTTGATAAAATATATATTAATATTTACTTTTCTAAGACAGAAATCCAGGGTCTGACCCATACTTATTCAATACTGTTACTTTTATGAAATACATGCCAGGAAAGGATGAAGTGTAATCCATGGCACTTTTGTGCTAATGAGTATAAGCTACTTCAGCAGCCACAATGAACTTAACTAAACAGTCAATAGGTCTCTACCATGGCCTAACAGCCCTATGAATAGGAAGAATTTGATTTGTCTTCTTCTACACTAGCCAGTATCATTTTCTGGGAAAGTAATTGCCATGTACTATTCCTTGACCATTGGCACCATCATCATATCCCAGCAGGACTGCACATATTGCATGCCCATAAGCAACATACATATTCTTCAGTGTATATCACTCTCTGGTGGGCTTTTTATCTTTCAACAAACACCCTCCTCACATGTCATATTGTTCCTGGCCTTCTGGAAGTTAAAATAACAATTGAAAGGTATTGGTGACCTCTTTCTGTCAGTCTTTTCTGTTGGGTGGTTAAGGGTTGCCCAACCAATAGATTTTTATGACAGCACTCAGTACTTCCATTAAAATATTTCTTCTTTGATCCCACTAACCATGCCTACCAATAGATATAGCCATGAATGACTGGTGCTTCCCGAGACTGGGGGGGGCACCATGGTGGTAAGTGGAGACCGTCCACAGCCGCCGGCATGGGTGTCAGGAGCGGTGAGTGGCAAGCAGGGACCACCTGCAGCTAGTAGTGTCGGGGGTGGGGGGCGGGAAGCGAGTGGGGACTACCCGCAGCCACTGCCAGCCGTGTCAGCAGCAAGGAGGGGCAGGGGCGGGCAGCAACTGCCCAGAGAAACTGGAGGTGGCTTCAGCGACGGCCAATCTTGGGGGGAGGCACATGCTCCCCCTACGTGTTATCTATAGGTATAGCAGCAACACAAACCCAAGCACTGAAGGGCTGATGCATATCCCACTGAATTCAACATGTGTCTTTACATTGACTTCATTTGGGCTTTGGATCAGGCTTTAAATCCACAGGTCCCTTCAACTGTCAAAAGGAATTATGAATTATTTCTTCAATTTACTTCCTTTGTTTCCTGCTCTTCTCTGCCCAGCTGGCTATTGTGTTAACTGAAGCGATGGCAACTGCATTGGCTGCTGGTAGTAAGAATGCCATTCACATTAGGCTGTATTCAAAAGCAGCTCTCTCATGAGCTGTTTAGATAAGTACATTCTTTCTGCTTGCCATGCCTGTTGCTCAACTCTGTCTTCAAGCATCTTGGGCCCGTATCCTTTAATAAGATCAACTTGGTCCACCTCAAAGTTTGCTGCTGAGGAGCAAGGAGAGAGAACCCTGAAACCCCAATGCAACCAAGAGCTTTTTTATGGCCTATTTATTTATTTATTTTTATAAGGATGTAAAATAACTGTCATTGATACTAGGTATGGGCAAACCAGCCTAGATATAATAAGAGTTAATCCCGACAACCACCAATATCTCATGCTTTTTTGAGACCTTCAAAAATACATTCACCTCACAATATGAATTTGCCTGCCTTTGCAGTCCTATTCTCATCGAAGAAGGAAATGATTTGCAGGAAGTGCCAACAATCTCATGGGAATCTGCACTTTTAATGCTGCCACCCTAAGGGGTTTGGAACCTTTCAACAATGTTTAAGGTTCTGACAATCTGAGCTGGTCGGAGCCCAGGGGAAATGAATCTGAGATACTTTTGAATTTGGCACCTCATTAATAAAAACTACTCCCACGCATCCTGTCATGGGCAGCTGCCATCCAAGAGCTATCCTGAACAAACAGGCAAAGGATCTTTGTTGTACAATGTAAAAATGATCCCTTACAGCAATGCTTCTCAAAGTGGTGGTCCACGAACCAGTGCTGGTCCGCGAGCCACCGGTCACCAGTCCGCAGCGAGTTGCCAGGAAAGAAAGAAATATATCTTCAGAAGCATAACATTGATATGTCATAGCACCACAGTTCATACATGCCAACATTCCAGGTGATGTCATGTCGTGCGAGGTGAGGAAAGAGTAAGAAACAGGCAGTCGAGCATTTGTGTAGCGCTGTTACACGTAGTTGCTGCCATCGGCTGAACCGGGCACTGGTCCCTGGCCCACTGGAAAAAAAATTGCAGGTCTGCCACATCAGATAGTTTGAGAAGCACTGCCTTGCAGTACTGTTCTCCAAGATGTCTTCTAATCTCTACTACACAAATGCCATCCTCACTCAGGATGATACGAAGAGGTGCACATCAACGCCACCGGAGTTGTAGGGCATTGATGTCAAATCCTAATGTTCTTGATCAGCCCTTTTCAGCACAGCAAATAAATGCAAGAATAAAGAAATCAAGATAGATTAAATCCTCTGGAGTGGCCATGGTCTAACTGGACTTTCTACCCATT